TGTTGCATCACGGTCAATTACCAACCCTTTGAAATTAGATTCTTTGGAGAATTGGAAAGTTTGTTTTAGTACTCATAAAATATGTCATTTAGTTTGGATGAATTCTGATACTCTAGAGTATATTTTTGTTGCCTTTGTTAAAAGGCCAGTTATAAAACTATGGATCTAGTTGCTGTCCCAGCTGGGACTGTTCATGGGTACAGAATGCAAATTGCATCACACCTTGTGATTTATGCTGATATTTGACTGTATTTCAGCCATGTGATTGTAAAGTATAATGACTGTATACTTGTAGTCAAAACCCTCGTGTATAATCTGGTGCTGGTAAACAACATTCTGTAATTTTTTATTTATATGAAAGTGCTAGTCCTTGGGAAAGGGAGCAAATTAGGTTTGATCCAAGGAAGGTGAGGGTAACTCAAATTTCTTGGATCTTCATGAGCATTTCACCTGCATGAAGGTGTCCTCATCGATGATAGGAGTACATACTGGAATTATTAGTATGTGACACAATGTGTTAAAAATTTTTACACTTGATGCTGAATATAGATGAAAAATTCTATCACATATTTTAAGCAATTTCGGTGTCTAATGCTGATATTTTTTTTTTCCAACAAGTCGGCCGTCTCCCACCGAGGCAGGGTGACCCAAAAAAGAAAGAAAATCCCCAAAAAGAAAATACTTTCATCATCATTCAACACTTTCACCTCACACATAATCACTTTTTGCAGAGGTGCTCAGAACACAACAGTTTAGAAGCATATACGTATAAAGATACACAACATATCCCTCCAAATTGCTAATATCCCGAAACCCCTCCTTTAGAGTGCAGGCATTGTACTTACCATTTTCAGGACTCAAGTCCGGCTATATAAAAATAACCAGTTTCCCTGAATCCCTTCACTAAATATTACGCTGCTCACACTCCAACAGATCATCAGGTCCCAAATACCATTCGTCTCCATTCACTCCTATCAAACATGCTCATGCACGCCTGCTGGAAGTCCAAGCCCCTCACCCACAAAACCTCCCTTACCCCTTCCTTCCAACCTTTTCGAGGACGACCCCTACCCCGCCTTCCTTGTCCTACAGATTTAAATGCTCTCCATGTCATTCTGCTTTGATCCATTCTCTCTAAATGACCAAACCACCTCAACAACCCCTCTTCAGCCCTCTAATACTTTTATTAACTCCACACCTTCTCCTAATTTCCACACTCCGAATTTTTTGCATAATATTTACACCACACACTGCCCTTAGACAGGACATCTCCACTGCCTCCAACCACCTCCTCACTGCTGCATTCACAACCCAAGCTTCACACCCATATAAGAGTGTTGATACTACTATCCTTTCAAACATTCCCTTCTTTGCCTCCATAGATAACGTTTTTTGACTCCACATATACCTCAACGCACCACTCACCTTTTTTCCCTCATCAATTCTATGATTAACCTCATCCTTCATACATTCATCCGCTGACAAGTCAGCTCCCAAGTATCTGAAAACATTCACTTCTTCCATACTCCTCCTCCCCAATTTGATATCCAATTTTTCTTTATCTAAATCATTTGATACCCTCATCACCTTACTCTTTTCTATGTTCACTTTCAACTTTCTACCTTTATACATATTCCCAAACTCATCTACTAACCTTTGCAATTTTTCTTTAGAATCTCCCATAAGCACAGTATCATCAGCAAAAAGTAACTGTGTCAATTCCCATTTTGAATTTGATTCCCCAAAATTTAATCCCACCCCTCTCCCAAACACCCTAGCATTTACTTCCTTTACAACCCCATCTATAAATATATTAAACAACCATGTTGACATTACACATCCCTGTCTAAGACCTACTTTTACCGGGAAGTAGTCTCCCTCTCTTCTACACACCCTAACCTGAGCCTCACTATCCTCATAAAAACTATTTACAGCATTTAATAACTTACCACCTATTCCATATACTTGCAACATCTGCCACATTGCTCCTCTATCCACTCTATCATATCTTTCTTTCTTTCAACACACCGGCCGTATCCCACCGAGGCGGGGTGGCCCAAAAGGAAAAACGAAAGTTTCTCCTTTTACATTTAGTAATATATACAGGAGAAGAGGTTACTAGCCCCTTGCTCCCGGCATTTTAGTCGCCTCTTACAACACGCATGGCTTACGGAGGAAGAATTCTGTTCCACTTCCCCATGGAGATAAGAGGAAATAAACAAGAATAAGAACTAGAAAGAAAATAGAAGAAAACCCAGAGGGGTGTGTATATATGTGCTTGTACATGTATGTGTAGTGGGACCTAAGTGTAAGTAGAAGTAGCAAGACGTACCTGAAAACTTGCATGTTCATGAGACAGAAAAAAGGACACCAGCAATCCTACCATCATGTAAAACAATTACAGGCTTTCGTTTTACACTCACTTGGCAGGACGGTAGTACCTCCCTGGGCGGTTGCTGTCTACCAACCTACTACCTAGGTCTCTATCATATGCCTTTTCTAAATCCATAAATGCAATAAAAACTTCCCTACCTTTATCTAAATACTGTTCACATATATGCTTCAATGTAAACACTTGATCTACACATCCCCTACCCACTCTGAAACCTCCTTGCTCATCTGCAATCCTACATTCTGTCTTACCTCTAATTCTTTCAATTATGACCCTACCGTACACTTTTCCTGGTATACTCAGTAAACTTATTCCTCTATAATTTTTACAATCTCTTTTGTCCCCTTTCCCTTTATATAAAGGGACTATACATGCTCTGCCAATCCCTAGGTACCTTCCCCTCTTTCATACATTTATTAAACAAAAGTACCAACCACTCCAACACTATATCCCCCCTGCTTTTAACATTTCTGTCATGATCCCATCAGTTCCAGCTGCTTTACCCCCTTTCATTCTATGTAATGCCTCACGTACCTCCACCACACTTACATTCTGCTCTTCTTCACTCCTAAAAGACGGTATACCTCCCTGGCCAGTGCATGAAATTACCACCTCCCTTTCTTCGTCAACATTTAAAAGTTCCTCAAAATATTCTTGCCATCTACCTAATACCTCCCTCTCCCCATCTACTAACTCCCCTACTCTTTTTTTTTACTGACAAATCCATACGTTCCCTAGGCTTTCTTAACTTGTTTAACTCACTCCAAACTTTTTTCTTATTTTCATTAAAATTTCTTGACAGTGCCTCTCCCACTCTATCATCTGCTCTCCTTTTGCACTCTCTCACCACTCTCTTCACCTTTCTTTTACTCTCCATATACTCTGCTCTTCTTATAACACTTCTGCTTTGTAAAAATCTCTCATAAGCTAAACATTTTCTCTTTTATCACACCCTTTACTTCATCATCCACCAATCACTCCTCTTTCCTCCTGCCCCCACCCTCCTATAACCACAAACTTCTGCCCCACATTCTAATACTGCATTTTAAAACTCAGTCCAACCCTCTTCAACCCCCCCCCCACTACTCATCTTTGCACTAGCCCACCTTTCTGCAATAGTCGCTTATATCTCACCCGAACTTCCTCCTCCCTTAGTTTATACACTTTCACTTCCCTCCTACTTGTTGTTGCCACCTTCCTCTTGTCCCATCTACCTCTTACTCTAACTGTAGCTACAACTAAATAATGCTCTGATATATCAGTTGCCCCTCTATAAACATGTACATCCTGGAGCCTACCCATCAACCTTTTATCCACCAATACATAATCTAACAAACTACTTTCATTACATGCTACATCATACCTTGTATATTTATTTATCCTCTTTTTCATAAAATATGTATTACTTATTACCAAATCTCTTTCTACACAAAGCTCAATTAAAGGCACCCCAAATTTACCTACTACTCCCTCCACAACATTTTTACCCACTTTAGCATTGAAATCCCCAACCACAAGTACTCTCACACTCGGTTCAAAACTCCCCACGCATTCACTCAACATTTCCCAAAATCTCTCTCTCTCTCCTCTACACTTCTCTCTTCTCCAGGTGCATATACGCTTACTATAACCCACTTTTCACATCCAACCTTTATTTTACTCCACATAATCCTTGAATTAATACCTACCATACAATTTACATGGTGTACATATAATTTACTGAAGCACAGAGATAAGAGGCATTTTATATTTGACTTGCATTGTCTTGGAGATTTTCCCATTAAGTTTTCTTTGTTAGTTATTGCTGATGATCATAAATACAGAACAACTTTTAGGTTGATGGATCCAAATTTTCAGCTTTTAATTGTACAGTATTGATATCATTCATGTGGTGTACATGATATTCAAGAAACCTTTCCTGATTTCCTCAAGTCTACTCTTATATCTGCTAAGTAAATTACAATGTTGGTTATTCAATTTATGTGACTATCTACCAATTGGTCTAGGTAGTAGGTTGGTAGACAGCTACCGTCCTGCCAAGTGATTGTAAAACGAAAGCCTGTAATTGTTTTACATGATGGTAGGATTGCTGGTGTCTTTTTTCTGTCTCATAGACATGCAAGATTTCAGGTATGTCTTGCTACTTCTACTTACACTTAGGTCACACTACACATACATGTACAAGCATATATATACACACCCCTCTGGGTTTTCTGCTATTTTCTTACTAGTTCTTGTTCTTGTTTATTTCATCTTATCTCCATGGGGAAGTGGAACAGAATTCTTCCTCCGTAAGCCATGCATGTTGTAAGAAGCGACTAAAATGCCAGGAGCAAGGGGCTAGTAACCCCTTCTCCTGTATAAATTACTAAATTTGAAAAGAGAAACTTTTGTTTTTCTTTTTGGGCCACCCTGCCTCGGTGGGATACGGCCGGTTTGTTGAAAGAAGAAGATGATCTACCAATTGGTTGGTTCAGTTTTTATATATAAGAAAATAAATGAGAGAAGGAAAAGTTAAATTACCCTTTGATTAAAAAGTGTACACAGTACATGACTCATCATTAACAAGATTACTGCAAGTCACAAGAAAATAGCAATTTATTTTCACCTTTATATAATTTTGGCAGGTTGAAAGTGGAAGACCCACTAACGACACACCATTAATGGCAATTATTTGGTCACCAATGTTGAGCTGGCCACACTTAGCAGCAGCACCAGTTGGGGAGAGGTTAGCTATTACCACTGTTGGCACCATAGATCCCCAGCCTGACTCCACAACAACTACACCTAGGATTTCACTCTTCATCTTTGGTACCACCACCTGAAATAAATAAGTATGAATTTAATAAAACAACAGACATAATAAATAATATCTACTCTATGTAAAAAATTTCTGGATGCACAACTACAGCCTTACACAAAAGCCTCACCAAAAGCAGGTGTCAAAGAGGTGTCAATGCATATAAAGCAACTGAGGCACTTCCTGATACATACACATATCTGGCAGGAAATGATATTCTACCACCAATACTTCACTCTCTACTGACCATGATGGTGCATAGTCACAAACACCACTCACTAGACAAAATCTACAAAAAAAAACTCTTGTTTCATCAGGTATACCTCTAATAATTGTACATTTCTGAGACAAGAGTATTTGACATAAGGTTACTATACAGTCGTAACAAATTAGTGTACCTAAGCACAATAGTTTTGCACAAGTTTTAAAATATTTTAATGAATCAAATTCATTTACCAAACGTGCAAATTCAAATCTTATTTTTCCTCAAAAGGATTGTTTTATTACTTACCGTTTTTGAGACATATAGCTCCTGTGTACGACGTGGGCATGTGGACGGTGTGGGTGGGGCGGCAGAAAAGATTTAAAATGCCCATTAGAATACACTTCTCATGGATGACTAATGACCACATTTTGAAAATGATTGGTCAAAGGATTGGGCATGTGGGCACGGTGGGCGGTCAAGTGTTAATTTTCATTTGATGAAATATGTGCTAATTTCTGAAGTTTCAAGTAAATTACTCATTCATTCTTGACCTAAATATAATGGGCAAAAAACTCATGCACAAAACCGACAGTGAACTTAAATAAGCTCTGCTTAAACGAAATTTGCAATCTTACCACTTACGCCACTGCCTCCATTATCCGAATTACTTTCAGTTGCTGTCACATGCAGTAATTTCACAAAACCATAAAGGTTTATTTTGAATACAGGCCTGCTTCAGTAATTATTGAAATACTTCTTAAAACAATGATTAATACGAGTCTAATGCAACTGCTATGTAAAAATTTTTACCATTCTACATATGGTCCAAAAGTTCAATTTGTTTGCATACAATATGATGTTTTTCATGGCATGGTCTAGTAAAATATTGAAATATTCATTAAACAGGAAATAAATATTAATATCTGACAATGCAGCCAGAATAAATTCTTCTGCACAAAAAAGTTCTGGCCAATAATAATTTGTTTCAAAGACTGTTCTTTCAATCTGTTATCAACAGTAGAACAATGAGCATGTTAAAATAAATTAAATTTATTTTATGTCCAGGTCAGACAAGGTTGGTGGATAACTGAGACAATGGTGTCACCTTTCTACCTACCCCACTCAAGTCTCCACCTGCTCACTATCAATCTGCATCTGCTAATACCTTGCAAGGCTGCCATATAGCGGGGTTTATATCTCGATTATACATAACATCAGATTGCAATACCAAAAACATGAAAGGTGTAAATATATTATTAAAAGAATGAACAATTTATGATCTGATATTATGCATAGTTAAGATTTAATGGAAGGAGAGCCAAATAAGTTATATATTGGTGCAATTTATTCAACTTCTTTAACTACAAATCATGTGTGACATAATCAATCAATTTGAGCATAAGATGAATATTGCATTATTTATCAAATTTCATAAAAATGCTACAAGAACATTTAACCTTATGTCTCAAAGCTGATGACAGTGTCACACACAAAAACTGAGTTAAAATTATAATGGTTTATAACAAACATACCTCCTTTTGTAGCTCTTTCTTGGCAAACATTTGAAGCTCATCTCCAAAGATTTCTTGTGAGTTGAGGACTTCCTGATAATCCATCTCTTTAACAAAACTATGATCTTCAATTCCATTAGCCTTCAAAAATTCTAGGTATGCTACTTGAAAAGCTTGACCAATGCTCTGTGCTATAAACTGAGCCTGCAAAGACAAGTAAATTTTCTGATAAATATTAACAATAGTAATTATGAATGGAAAATACATCTTCTAAATTAAAGCAGAAAATAAATTACATTACAGAATTTTTAATGATGAAATGATAGGCGAGTGGATAACAGCTTTTCCTGCCCCATCAAGGTTTGCTACATTCTGGAAAAATTAAATGAAATAAAAACCACAGCAGAGTATAAAACACTGAAACCATTCAACAGAATGCAAGAGGAAATGTAATGGACCTAGGAGTGACCATGTTGGAACATCTCATGTTCAAGGATTGTTTCCAACAAGACATCTAATGAAAGTGTGATGATGAATGTGCTTGCTGGAAAATGGCCAATTTGGAAACAAGACAAATATATGAGAGTACAGTGGTACCAACACTCTTATATGGGTGTGAAACAGGGGTTGTAAATGTTACAGTGAGGAGGAGGTTGAAGGCAGTGGAGATGTGTCTGAGGGCAATGTGTGGCATAAATATTATGTAAAAAATTCATAGTTTGGAGATTAGGAGGTGCAGGGTTACTGAAAGTATTATCCAGAGGGCCGAGGAAGGGTTGGTGAGGTAATATGGTAACCTAAAGAGGGTGGAGAAAAATAGGATGACTTGTGGAGGGAAGGCAGGGTAGAGGTTGCCCTTGGAAAGGAGGGAGGAATTGGGTAAAGGAGGTTTTGTGTGCAAGAGTCTTAGACATCCAGCAGGCATATGTGATTGTGTTAGATAGGAATGGAGGCTGTTGAAATAAGAGCAAGGTAGCACTTTGTGAATTTATTCAGAGAAACCAGTTAGCCAGATTTGAGTGCTGGAGGTGAGAAGTACAGTGCCTGCACTCTAAAGAAGGGGTGAGGATATTTGCAGCTTGAAGTATCATCAGAACTGTACTATTTACTCACCTCTGGCAAAACATGATAAGAGTGAACAACAGTAAGTGTTTCTTTTTTGGGTCACCTTACCTTGGTGGGAGATGGCCAATTTAGGAATAAGCAATTTTGCCAATTTGAGTCCTATTTTAAGCCAATTCCAATGTTCAACTGAACCCCATTACTAGTTATTTTGCTAGTATTTCTTCCATTTTACTGATTGAGCACAAAAAACTACTCATTCATCTATCAGGACCATCTTATAATATGCACAGAAGTTGATAATTTGTCAAACTATACACAAAATAAATAATTTGGGCATTCCAGGTACTAAAACAATCTTTTTCTTTGTTCATTAATCACATGTTCTAGTGGTACACTCTGTAATTATTATTTTACTACATGTAAACCACACAATAACCAAATTCTGTAAACTCAGCATTGTAATCCTTATAGAGAATAAACTTTGAATTATTATTCTCATTCCTCTCCTGTATAACACTTGTAGCACATGTGCTGTCTCCCATTACTGCAACTCTGTTAAACTAATCAGTGGAATCTTCAACTTTCCCTTCCTTACTCTAGATAGCAAAGGTTACCCTGATCCTCAAAGGAGGCAATCCAACTGAAGTGAATAACTATAAGCCTATATCAAACCTACCCTTACTATCTAAAATCTTCGAAAAAATAATACACGAGCGAGTTTGCTCCTACCAAATATCTCACAACAGTTCAGCTCTTTCTCACTTACATCAATGATCTCCCCAATGCATCTCATCTCATTAAGTCATTTCTATTTGCCGAGGACACTACTTAAGTCTTCTCCCACTCAAACCCCACTATGCATGGTGACACTGTTAACAATGTGCTACTAAAAATATCTATGTGGATGACAACCAACAAACTTACTCTCAATACAGACAAAGACAAGGTCTTCACCTTGATTGCAACCTTAAATTTCAGACCCACATCTAACACATAGCCAAGAAGTTCTCCAAAACAGTAGGCATCCTTTCCAAAATACAGTACTATGTACCCCAAACAGCACTAGGTACTTACATTATACCACCCTTTAATCTACCCTTACCTCACCTATGGTATTTGTGCTTGGGGATCTACTATGTCTAATCACCTTACACCATTAATAACCCAAGAAAAAGCTGCTGTGCAGATGATCACCAACTCCTGTGCCAGACAACACACCCCTCCGCTCTTCAAGAGTTTAAACTTACTTAATGTACAAAATATGCACTCATATTACTGTGCCTACTATAAATATTTAGAACATTAAACTCCAATATAAACCCTACTCTCAAACTTCTCTTTGTTAGCTACAACAGAACACACAGGTGCAACACAAGGCACAAAACTCTCTTTGACATCCCATGTGTCTGTTTCACCCTATGCAAAAATGCAATGTACATAAAGGGTTCAAGATCTGGAATTCACTGCCTGAACCAGCAAAAGGTCCCTTGTCAGCCAATCAATTTAGGGCTATAGTTAAAAATCCCCTCATCTCCCAAACCTAATTATACTATATCTGAAATCATAAGACCAGTTTGATACTACTCAAGAACTCCCAATTAACTTAAGAACACTAAATCAATTTAGGTATTAATACACACTTAAAATTGTACTAGTGTAAATTGCACTAATTGTATTTTTTTCTTGCAACCCCTCTACTATAAATTATATTAATTATAAAATTTTTGTTACCCCTTTTTTTGTAATAATGTACAATTAAAATGCACCACTTTAGTTTTAAATAGTGTGTAAGCATTAGGATCAGTCTGCCCGAAATGCTCAGGCATGTTGATGGCTTTCTTTCTGCTTATTATTTTACTACATGTAAACTACATGTAGTAGGTTGGTAGACAGCAACCACCCAGGGAGGTACTACCGTCCTGCCAAGTGAGTGTAAAACGAAAGCCTGTAATTGTTTTACATGATGGTAGGATTGCTGGTGTCTTTTGTCTGTCTCATAAATATGCAAGATTACAGGCATGTCTTGCTACTTCTACTTACACTTGGGTCACACTACACATACATGTACACGTTTATTTATACACACTCATCTGAGTTTTCTTTGATTTTATCTTAATAGTTCTTGGTCTTATTACTTTTCCTTTTATATCCATGGGGAAGTGGAATAAGAATCTTTCCTCCGTAAGCCATGCGTGTTGTAAAAGTTAACTAAAATACCGGGAACAATGGGCTAGTAACCCCTTTTCCTGTAAAGATTACTAAAAAGAATAAGAAAAAAAAATTTCAAAGTGGGAAGTCTGAATGTGCGTGGATGTTGTGCAAATGATAGGAAAGAGATGATTGTGGATGTTATGAATGAGAAAAAACTAGATGTCCTGGCTTTAAGTGAAACAAAGCTGAAGGGGGTGGGAGAGTTTCAATGGAGAGGAATAAATGGGATTAGGTCAGGGGTTTCAAATAGAGTTAGAGCTAAAGAAGGAGTAGCAATAATGTTGAAGGATAAGCTATGGCAGGAAAAGAGGGACTACAAATGTATAAATTCAAGGATTATGTGGAGTAAAATAAAGATTGGATGTGAAAAGTGGGTTATAGTAAGCGTGTATGCACCTGGAGAAGAGAGAAGTGTAGAGGAGAGAGAGAGATTCTGGGAAATGTTGAGTGAATGCGTGGGGAGTTTTGAATCAAGTGTGAGAGTAATGGTGGTTGGGGATTTCAATGCTAAAGTGGGTAAAAATGTTATAGAGGGAGTAGTAGGTAAATTTGGGATGCCAGGGGTAAATGTAAATGGGGAACCTTTAATTGAGCTATGTGTAGAAAGAAATTTGGTAATAAGTAATACATATTTTATGAAAAAGAGGATAAATAAATATACAAGGTATGATGTAGCACGTAATGAAAGTAGTTTGTTAGATTATGTATTGGTGGATAAAAGGTTGATGGGTAGGCTCCAGGATGTACATGTTTATAGAGGGGCAACTGATATATCAGAGCATTATTTAGTTGTAGCTACAGTTAGAGTAAGAGGTAGATGGGACAAGAGGAAGGTGGCAACAACAAGTAAGAGGGAGGTGAAAGTGTATAAACTAAGGGAGGAGGAAGTTCGGGCGAGATATAAGCGACTATTGGCAGAAAGGTGGGCTAGTGCAAAGATGAGTAGTGGGGGGCTTGAAGAGGGTTGGAATAGTTTTAAAAATGCAGTATTAGAATGTGGGGCAGAAGTTTGTGGTTATAGGAGGGTGGGGGCAGGAGGAAAGAGGAGTGATTGGTGGAATGATGAAGTAAAGGGTGTGATAAAAAAGAAAAAGGTAGCTTACGAGAGGTTTTTACAAAGCAGAAGTGTTATAAGAAGAGCAGAGTATATGGAGAGTAAAAGAAAGGTGAAGAGAGTGGTGAGAGAGTGCAAAAGGAGAGCAGATGAAAGAGTGGGAGAGGCACTGTCAAGAAATTTTAATGAAAATAAGAAAAAATTTTGGAGTGAGTTAAACAAGTTAAGAAAGCCGAGGGAAAGTATGGATTTGTCAGTTAAAAACAGAGTAGGGGAGTTAGTAGATGGGGAGAGGGAGGTATTAGGTAGATGGCAAGAATATTTTGAGGAACTTTTAAATGTTGAGGAAGAAAGGGAGGCGGTAATTTCATGCACTGGCCAGGGAGGTATACCATCTTTTAGGAGTGAAGAAGAGCAGAATGTAAGTGTGGTGGAGGTACGTGAGGCATTACGTAGAATGAAAGGGGGTAAAGCAGCTGGAACTGATGGGATCATGACAGAAATGTTAAAAGCAGGGGGGGATATAGTGTTGGAGTGGTTGGTACTTTTGTTTAATAAATGTATGAAAGAGGGGAAGGTACCTAGGGATGGGCGGAGAGCATGTATAGTCCCTTTATATAAAGGGAAAGGGGACAAAAGAGATTGTAAAAATTATAGAGGAATAAGTTTACTGAGTATACCAGGAAAAGTATACGGTAGGGTTATAATTGAAAGAATTAGAGGTAAGACAGAATGTAGGATTGCGGATGAGCAGGGAGGTTTCAGAGTGGGTAGGGGATGTGTAGATCAAGTGTTTACATTGAAGCATATATGTGAACAGTATTTAGATAAAGGTAGGGAAGTTTTTATTGCATTTATGGATTTAGAAAAGGCATATGATAGAGTGGATAGAGGAGCAATGTGGCAGATGTTGCAAGTATATGGAATAGGTGGTAAGTTACTAAATGCTGTAAAGAGCTTTTATGAGGATAGTGAGGCTCAGGTTAGGGTGTGTAGAAGAGAGGGAGAATACTTCCCGGTAAAAGTAGGTCTTAGACAGGGATGTGTAATGTCACCATGGTTGTTTAATATATTTATAGATGGGGTTGTAAAAGAAGTAAATGCTAGGGTGTTTGGGAGAGGGGTGGGATTAAATTATGGGGAATCAAATTCAAAATGGGAATTGACACAGTTACTTTTTGCTGATGATACTGTGCTTATGGGAGATTCTAAAGAAAAATTGCAAAGGTTAGTGGATGAGTTTGAGAATGTGTGTAAAGGTAGAAAGTTGAAAGTGAACATAGAAAAGAGTAAGGTGATGAGGGTATCAAATGATTTAGATAAAGAAAAATTGGATATCAAATTGGGGAGGAGGAGTATGGAAGAAGTGAATGTTTTCAGATACTTGGGAGTTGACGTGTCGGCGGATGGATTTATGAAGGATGAGGATAATCATAGAATTGATGAGGGAAAAAAGGTGAGTGCTGCGTTGAGGTATATGTGGAGTCAAAAAACGTTATCTATGGAGGCAAAGAAGGGAATGTATGAAAGTATAGTAGTACCAACACTCTTATATGGATGTGAAGCTTGGGTGGTAAATGCAGCAGCGAGGAGACGGTTGGAGGCATTGAAGATGTCCTGTCTAAGGGCAATGTGTGGTGTAAATATTATGCAGAAAATTCAGAGTGTGGAAATTAGGAGAAGGTGTGGAGTTAATAAAAGCATTAGTCAGAGGGCAGAAGAGGGGTTGTTGAGGTGGTTTGGTCATTTAGAGAGAATGGATCAAAGTAGAATGACATGGAAAGCATATAAATCTATAGGGGAAGGAAGGAGGGGTAGGGGTCGTCCTCGAAAGGGTTGGAAAGAGGGGGTAAGGGAGGTTTTGTGGGCTAGGGGCTTGGACTTCCAGCAAGCGTGCATGAGCGTGTTAGATAGGAGTGAATGGAGGCGAATGATACTTGGGACCTGACGATCTGTTGGAGTGTGAGCAGGGTAATATTTAGTGAAGGGATTCAGGGAAACCGGTTATGTTCATATAGTCGGACTTGAGTCCTGGTAATGGGAAGTACAATGCCTGCACTTTAAAGGAGGGGTTTGGGATATTGGCAGTTTGGAGGAATATGTTGTGTATCTTTATACGTATATGCTTCTAAGCTGTTGTATTCTGAGCACCTCTGCAAAAGCAGTGATAATGTGTGAGTGTGGTGAAAGTGTTGAATGATGATGAAAGTATTTTCTTTTTGGGGATTTTCTTTCTTTTTTGGGTCACCCTGCCTCGGTGGGAGACGGCCGACTTGTTGAAAAAAAAAAAACTACACATTGTATATTATGCAAAGAAATAAATTTTTAAATTTGAATTTTGAATTCTGATTGTTTCCTGATATCATTTGACAGACTTGAAGGATGCTACTGAAACAGATGATTTTGATTGGTTTCAGGACTGGAAGTACATAGTTTGAAACTGAACTGAAAGTAGTGGAATTATACAATTTTTGTTGATATTCCAGAGGACGGGTAAGGCCCCCCCTACAACCTCCAGTCTGTTTTATGGGTTTTTAATAGGTCTGATTCAATTACATGTAATGTATTAGGATGCTGTAAATCATGATCAATCTTTCCTGGCTATATTTTATTATCCAAGAAATAGAGTAAATCTTCTGTTTATGTGTGAATAAGCTTTTCAAATGGTAAGGCAAGTGTAAGATAGGAGAGGCCTGGGGACATGACTAATGAGTAGAGGAAATGTTTTAGTGCCAGAAATGTCCACATTGTTTATTATGGATGATTTTTAAACTGGTGTTTTTTTTAAATTTTGTGTAGAACTGGCCAAATTACAGACTTCTGTGAATTTTATAGGGTAGCTGAATGGGCAGTTTCTTATGCTCAATCAATAGAATGGAAGGCATACTAGCGAAATAGCTAAGAATATGGTTGAATGGAACAATGGTCTCAAAGTGGGCAAAATTGCCAATGCATCAATTGCACCCAGACTGCAAAATTTGTGCCTGCATAATTCTGTAAATTTTCCATAAAATTTCACACTTTTGGTGTCATTACTTTCAGAGAAAGATTCTCTACTAATTCATAAGAAGAAATATTAAAAAAAAAAAAAAAACATTAATGATAATTCATGGTTAGGCAATGACTTGACAGGCATCGCTCTGCTATTAAGAAACGTACCTCGTCACTTTCAAATACATGGCAGATCATCTTTGGTGTTTTCTGAATGCTGTTCCCAGAATCATCAGTAGGTAAGACTCTCCTTCGTGCCATAAGGACAACCAGGTCTCCAATGTCAGCAATATATGAGATAGTGCGAAGTGCATGATCCATCATTATCTCCTGCAATGAAAAAAAATAAAGAGCTGGTAGACGGCATTATGTTCGGAATGCGGATTAAATGTAGGTTTTATAGCTGCCTACAAAGCTGAGAAATATAGTTGCCTGTTTACCTTAAGGTAATAATATGTAGATGAACCTTGCTATGATGAACATGTTTCCTGTAGATCTTTCCCAGGTATCACCCTTCCTCCTTTCTCATGCCTTGCTTAAGTTGGATACTCCCTAAATGTTCAACTCTCAATGTCCTCAAATACAAAATAGGGGAAAGGAGATGGAAATCAAGTGTTCCATCTTCAGATTTTTTTTTTGTCAGTTTGTTGATTGACCATGGCACTATAATTAACTGTATAGTAACCACAAGACAGCCCCTCACTGATCCAGCTTGTGTTATTTTTACCACTGGTGGTGAATATTTGAAATACAGTAGACTGTTATATTACATGGATTTATTTGCCACGTTTTGGTTATTGCACTATTGAAAAATTGCGGCACAATTTTATACAATGCTTCGTAAAATTAACTTAACATGGTTCTGTTTGCAGATGTGGAGAAAATTTTCCAAGCTCAAGCTGCCACCTTGTTGTGGGTCAGCAGCAGAGACCTCCCACCACCCCCGACACCCCTATCCCGGCCTGCATGAATACGTGTCCAGTACAAATGCTCCCTAGGAGCTAGCTGTGTTTGTGAATTGTGCTTTGATCTTTTAATTGCCATATCTTGTATCTGCCAAGCAATCATGGCACCCAGTAGGCATACCAGTGTTGCTGAAAGTGGCAAGAAAAGGTATAAGAAAATAGAGATATTAGACAAGAGATAGCCTATGGCCGTAATGAAGCATCAGTTTATACAATTAAAAAGAATGAGGTAAATATATGAGTTTGTGTGATAACTGACTGACTGACTTGACTGAAAGACTTCCTTGACTGACTTACTAACTTTACTGACTTATTTCACTGACTTGACTGAATGATTTACTGATTTTACTGACTTGACTTACTTGACTGACTGACTGACTGACTGACTGACTTTACTGACTTACTGATACTTACTGACTGACTTATTTTACCGATTTACTGAGTTGAGTGATTGACTTACTGACTGACCGACTTACTGACTGACTGATTGACTTTTTGATTTGGCTAATTTACCTGACTGACTTGACTGATTTACTGACTGACTTAGAAGAGGACCCTGACAGTGGTCTGAAATGGTATCTAGAGCAGCTGATGCTTTACCATCAGCTGTATAATGTACTGCAGGGTAAAACAGAACAGAAATTCATTAAAGAATTTATGCACACTCCAGTACAACCACCAACTTCAGTACCAGAACCTCTACCATCCACCTCAGCCCAGTAGGGCCACAGCATAACTCTCCACTCTCTTCACAATCATCGACAGACACCAGCACCCACAATTTAAGGTAAGAAATACAGTGGTACCTTGACGTACGAGTTTAATTTGTTCCGTGACCAAGCTTGGAACTCAATTTGCTTGTACGTATATCAAATCAATTTTCCTTATTGAAATTAACTGAAATGCCATTAATCCATTCCAGCCAAAAAAAATTACCCCAATTTTTCTGTTATGGGATTTTAAATAAGAAAAATGTATTTATAAATAAGAAACATTGTATAAAAACATAATAAAAGAGAATGTAAAGAAATAAACTGGTTTCATAAAGTGTGTTTACCTTGGAGATCAGGCGACTTGGGCTAACAGATGGTGATGGCAGAGGTGTAGTCGAACTACAAGTCGACTACATGCACACCTCGCTTGTGTTTTTCTATGATTTCATGCTTTAATTCAATGGACATCATCCTCTTCTTCTCCTCAGCACTGTCCTTTGCACTTACTTTCTTAGTACCCATGGTTAGAAAAAAGAAATTTGGCAAAATAACTGCACAAAATGCAAGCACAACACAAGAGAGATGCTTCCACGGCAAGGTAACCACATGTGCTGAACGAGATGCGACAACAAGGGACAATAAAGGATGGCTGGCGTGGCAGGGCATGTGGCGGGCTAGCTGTGGGATTTTCAAGGATAACTCCTGATCAAAAAGGCTGACCAAGTCAAGATTGAACAGGACTCGGCGTGAATACTCTGGGAAGATTCCAGAGCAGCAAGAAGACATCCCAGTGCATCGTTTCAATGTAAATAATGGAAGTGTTGCACAGATTGTGAAGGTTGATGAGTGGTGGTAGTGGAGATTGCCCCAGAAGCACTGTGCCTGGGTGCCAGCCACGCATATACAAAACTCGAAAGGCCTCCATAAACACATCTACCTGCAGCACAGGCGCCATGCTTCCAGTTAACTTAAAAATGAATACATGTCGATGCATGGAATAGTTAGAGGTATATGGTGTGGGAAGCAATGTGGTGTTGAGAGTAATGTGGTTGGGACTAGTCAGTACCTCTTACCCCACACCACGAGGAAGGGAGAAGAGGCAGGGTGTGTAGGTGAAGATGATGGGAACATACTGGGTTTAACCCTTAAATTGTCCAAACATAGATCTACATTTTTTCAACATTTGAAAGTATGTAAAAAAACATAATCTTCTTTTTTTTACATTTGAAAGCTTGTAAAAAAACTTTGATCTACGTTTTTTCTTTATATTTGATATGTAAAAAAACGTAGATCTACTTTTGGAGCACTACACATGTGAACGTAGATCTATGTTTGGACAGTTTAAGGGTTAAGGAGTCACATACCTATATGATGTGCATGGGAAACAAATAAATATTGTGTTTATTTTATGCACTACAGTGTGAATAACAGTGCACAATCCGTGTGTATATAGGTAGTAGGTTGGTAGACAGCAACGCCCAGGGAGGTACTACCGTCCTGCCAAGTGAGGGTAAAACGAAAGCCTGTAATTGTTTTACATGATGGTAGGATTGCTGGTGTCCTTTTTTCTGTCTCATGAACATGCAAGATTTCAGGTATGTCTTGCTACTTCTACTTACACTTAGGTCACACTACACATACATGTACAAGCACATATATACACACCCCTCTGGGTTTTCTTCTATTTTCTTTCTAGTTCTTGTTTATTTCCTCTTATCTCCATGGGGAAGTGGAACAGAATTCTTCCTCCGTAAGCCATGTGTGTTGTAAGAGGCAACTAAAATGCCGGGAGCAAGGGGCTAGCAACCCCTTCTCCTGTATATATTACTAAATGTAAAAGAAGAAACTTCCGTTTTTCCTTTTGGGCCACCCCGCCTCGGTGGGATGCAGCTGATGTGTTGAGAGAGAGAGAATCCGTGTGTAGGGAAGTGCCCTCACCCCACTCCCCGGCATGCCTCATGTGTAGTGTACCCTCCTGCACCTCCCATAACCCCACACCTTGGGCTTCCCCTACCAAACTACCTGTGCCTCCACCATTCAACTTCCCTGCCTCACCCACCCAACTCCCAGCAACACCCCAACTGTAGAGGGTACTTTTCCCCTCCCAGCCCACGATATCAGTGATGTCACAAGATGTGCCAGGTTCCCAGGAGCTTCCACTACAGAGCCAGCACCATGGAATTCAACCGAGAGGCAACTGTCAGGTGTGCCACAGGGAGTGTGCACTCAATCCTTCAAATTTCAACATTTGTGCACACAGTGGATGTCTAGGCTCCCAGAGAGCTCCAAGAGGGAACGACCAACAGCCCCTCCCAGCAAACAGTGCTGACAGCTACTGCGACTTCACCTCTATAGAGGACCTGGGATCTGCAATCAAATTAACATCCATCAGGACGCTGACACATTCCCAAAGCAGCTCTCCCTTGGGCAGCTAGCGAAGTCGCTGACCTGTTGGGGAGGGTCAGTGGTGTCCCTGCAAGCAGCAGATTCTGGCACAACCTACTGCTATTTGCCATGGTTGTCTGGCTGTCCCACCGAGGAGGGACATGCACCTAGCAACATCTGTTACTGGGGCAATAAATGCATTCCCCAGAATGTTATTAGCCCTTAACTGTCCAAATGTAGATCTGTGTTCATGTGAGTAGCGCTCCGAACGTAGATCTACATTTTATTTTACATGCTTTCAACCTTGGCATGATAGGCCTGAGTTGCCTAGACATGAGAGAATGGGTCTGTGCACTCAGTGCGCACAGTATGACAAAATTCAGGGATGGCGGGAAAAATGCGCTCTTCATTTTAAATAAAAAAAAAAAATTCCACAAATATTCAGAGAGTGCAAGTGAACGTAGATCTACGTTTGGACAGTTTAAGGGTTAATTTCTGACATACACCTACCATCCGACTTATGACCTCCTCGACATATGACGACTCGACTTACGACCGTGTTTTTTATGCCAAATTTCTAGGAAATAAACAAGTGTTTGTGTTGCACACAGTGTTTATCCTAAACCTTACAGTATAAAATACAGTACTAACAGCATAAAAAGTACAGTAAAACATGAAATACCAAAATTAAACAAAATAGACATTACAAAAATGTTATGTTGATATTCAGTAGTAAAGTTCGACTTACGTCCATTTCGACTTACGACCGGTTTCTCGGAATCGAACTCGGTCGCAAGTTGGATTGTAGGTGTATACTCATTGTCTTCTATTTTTCATTATATTCCAACAGATTGGTAATTAATTTTCAGAGTGAACTCTATTAAAATTTAGTACAGTGGATCCTCCCTTTTCGTCGATCTCTGTTATCGCAGATTTCCATTTTCACCGTGTTTTTTCGTCAAAATATTGGTTCTGCTTTCATCGATTTCCTCCTGTTTCCATCAATGGTACAGAACCTGTCCTGTGCCCAGTGTGCACGTAAGGCTGCCTCCCAAACGCATTCTCAGGCAGTGTCGTGTTGTTTCTCGGTGAGTGAACATATCCTGCGAGGTCCTATGAAACATTTCGTAACAATCCACTGTTTTTGGCACTTGTTTATTGTGCGCGACTGCTAAATAAGCCACCATGGCCCCAAAGAAATGAAAAAAGAAATCGTTCAAAAATATGATAGTGGCATACACATTGCTGAACTCAGCAGGATGTACAG